ATTTTATTTTATTTTATTTTATTTTATTCCTTCCTAGTTAAATTTACCCTTTTTAATTTTCATATTTATTTCCTATCTTATTCATAGCCCTTTTTTTTTCTTTAGGTCACGAGCAGTTGTCTAAGCATTTCACTGCATATCGTACTGTGTATGTGACAAATAAAATTTGAATTTTGAATTTGGAAGGAAAGTAGCCTTGCAGGGAAGGAAAGACCTGAATCTCTCATGGTTGGGGGTTGGGGGAGGGTGTCTTTGCACAACAAAAGCAGGAGAACAATGGAGCTGAAGACCTGTGAAAATCTCAGCGGGGTGCCAAGAGGTGTTAGGGTCGGGGGGAATTTACGCAAATTTGCGCAGGCTAGTAAATCTAGCAGTAGGGACTGCACCAGGGAAAAAAGGCTCAGTAATTCTAGTGTTAAAAGCACAATTACATGGTGCACCAGTCCAGAGAGGCTTTCACTGGCAAATAATACAAATTTAATGTAGATTAATTCTATTGTTATTTAGAAAATACGTGTGTATTTGCAAGAAGATGACAAAGCCAACACTGGAAAATCTGTAAACCTGTATGTGGCTAATATTAATCCATTATTAGTTCATTTATAGCTTCCTAAAAATGAAAATCCAAGCTGCCAAAAATCCTGACATTTTATTCCATTTTTGATCTAAATAAGACGCTCAAAGTCTGATCAAAGACTGCCCACCTGAATGGCTCTGTACCAGAGCATTACAATGAAAGAGCATTAATGTCACGACAAATAAATAATTATGTTAGCAGGCAGAACCGTGAATAATGCGTCTGCTGTCAGGTGATTTGTCTGAAAAGATAAAAAAGTCCATCATTCACGTATGTATCTGAGCAAAAAGGAACACACTTTGTTATCAAGCATTAAATGCAGAAAAGTTTTTGTTTAGTTTTTTTCTTCGGGGCTTTAACTCGACACAAAAATTCAAAGGCTATGTTCTGATGATACCTTGTGGGTGGACAGACCATATCATGTTATGAGCAGGAATATGAAAAGCCACAAAATTCTGAGCCAAAGCAAATAAGAATAAATCAGCATTTAGGTGCTCTGTTTTGAAAGCATGAAATGCCATACATTAAGCCTGGTGGATTCGCCCACTCGTGACTGGAACAAGCGAGTGAAAGCTCACACATCGCCCTGCATGGCTTAAGCACTATGGCACTCGGCTTACAACTGTCACCGATGTACACCACATTATTATCTCAATAAGCCGCCCTATTTTCCCTCCGTCCTCCATCCTCCGCCGCCACCAGGCAGATAGGGGCTGGGTGGAGATAACTACAGACGGAGAGAGTGACCCAGAACTGTCAGGCCCCTCCACAGTGGGCAGGGCTGGGCTCCAGAAGCGAGCATATGTCCCCTGCATCGTTCCCCACCTCTTCTTTTACTTTGGCACCTTCATTTCTTCCAGTGATAGCTTGCAGTTCAGCACAGCCCCAGCCACTTGATCCAGCTCTGCTCCACATAGCCAGTGTAATCCCCATATCACCAGGCTCCAAAAGAGCAGATCTGCTCTATATTTACTGGGTGGGTTTGATGTGCTCCCATTCATTAGACTTTCAGGGAGAGATTAATTATCAAAAATACACCAAAACCCCAGAGGGGAGAAAAACAACTAGTGTTGTGTTAGAAGGAATTACAGTAGACAGAGCAGCTGCCCGTTATAGAAGGTCTTATTATTAGAAGACTAATTATAATATTTAATGAACGCTCATTTAATGTTATTATTTGAAAGGAGAATTAAGGAGTGGAGCGGTAATTCAAATTAATACAATGACAAAGAAATGTAATGTCTTACTTTGTACAGAAAAATACAACTACACGTTTATTCATGTGGAAGCTACCTTTAGAAGACTTCCACCAGTAAATAATCCCAGTTAAACCCATCCATTTACTGGCCTCCCACTTTGTTTTAGTTTCATGTTGTGGAAATGGTATAGCCACACAAGCCCGTTTCACTGTCACCCAATTTTAACCACAACCCTAAACGCTGATAACTTTTAGGGCCAAAAAATAGCCGATAGTATCTATTGGAAATAGCTGCATGCAGTGTAACACTGCGTCCTCCATCATCCTAACTGCACAGCAGTGATGTACGAGGGGAAAAAAGGCCTCAGCCATAATGCATTTCGGGTGATAATGTTTGGGTATGAGAGTTTCCTTGCTTTTGTTATGCAGGCTCAAGAAGAAAAAAATATTCCAAAACATATCTTTAAAAAGGCCGTCAGACTTTTACGAGTGTTGGTGCTGATCTCTCTCCACTGCTGGCTTACGCTGTGGACGCTCGAGCTGAGGTGGACATCGTGATACTGGATGGTTAATGTGAATTCTATTTCTCACTTCCTCCGAATAGATGAGGAATACATAATTCATAACTCGAGGGGAACAGCAACTTGTCTATGGTAAATTCATCGTCCTCCTCACAGCTTTCCTTCATCTTTGAACTCTCTTTTTTTAAGTCTTATTTCTGCAAAAAGATCTGACATAGCAGCGAAATCATCAGAATCACTCTATTTAGAAGACTGTCGACCTTCCCTACTGATATTTTTCTTCTTCAAAGGTAAAATAAAAAGCAACCCCCACAGGTTAAAATCAATTAAATTAAAACTACCGCCTCTACTAAGCAGTTAAGTTGCAGTTTATAACCATATCTGTATAGATTTATAATTTATGTAGTGAAGACTTTGAAGAAATATAATGCGAGGGCAATGTTAAGAATTTAGCAACCTGCCAAGAATGAAATATCTATGGTGTTGAAAACGTTCCCTCATTTTCCACATTATGTCAAAGTGAAGTCGACTTTGGACCTTTTGGATAGGAAACGTCACTGCTTCGTCACTTCATCCTGTTCTACATTCATGTAAAATTTAATGTACAGTAAGTTGGCGTTTGATTTCCTGGATTAGAGCGGTCTTAGATTTCATAAAATTAGGCCCAGTTGTTCCTGAGGAATCAACACTGACATGAATTGGACGAAATGATATCAGACCTTTAGCTCCGCCCCCAAAAATCGAATCAGTACTCGCTTGAGTTCGAGTGAATCTCAGCACCAAATTTAAAAAATGCCTGAAAACTAAATCTGTTTGTCCACTGAGGTTGCAATTATGGAGGCATTACTTTCTCCCTGCAGGACTCTGATCAGTGTTTTCTTTCTTTCTTTTTTTACTTGCAGATTAATAAAAAATAGCTACAAGCTATTTTTAAAGCTTTTCTCCCCTCTCAGAATGTAATTACAGTGTGCACGTCCACATTTTTTGTAAGTTAATGCTATTTTACATTTTTTACTTTTGGACCCAGTTGAGCAGCTGCTTTTCACATGTTTCATATCTGCTAATTTGTGCTCAGTAACAGAAATGTTAACAAAATTAAACAAAAAAGCCTCATTATTTGTCAGATTATTGACAAATAACAAGACAGAAAGCACCAGCATCATAAACATAACTTAACTTATAGAACAAGGTACTAGCCTCCACCTGTCAGTCAAAGCAACCAAGTCCCTAATGTCAAACCTTAAAATTTATGCTTTTTGTAGCACTTTTTATGGGGAAAAAGAGGAAAAACGACACTAAACTTACAGAGAGCACCACAAGGTCATCGGTCAATACAAAGTTAGTGGTAGGTAAAAAACCACAAACACAACTTACCTGATGTAATAGTCATTTCTGATGAGCAATAGGTGCTGAAGGATTGACAGGAAGTAGGTCTCTGAGGCAGTGTCTCTCACCATGTTGGACAGGAGATGGTACACCTCATTCATATCAGTGCAAGAGTACGGTTAAGGAAAAGCAACTTTACTGCAGTGACATGTTCTACTTTCTACAGTTATGGTTAACTTCTTTGGAAACCTGAACTCCTTATTACTCAGGATCATTCAACTGCAATAAACATTTAGATTTTCATTGCTTCTTACTTCTTTTCATTAGAGTTATTTATCTTTGCCAGCTTTTCTTACAAGGACTCTGCGCAGAAGCAAACAGAGATGCGATTCCTCTTATCCGTCCTCTCTCAAGAGAGCTAAAGCAGTGTAAACAGCTAACTTGTGGAAAGGGATCAGGAGTGAAAAATGCTCCCCTCTGGTATCCCTTTTATTCCAGACTTTTCAAGACATGGAAAATTAATAAGAGAAAAACTGGCTTTAAGAATGATGAGCATCAGATTATTCGTAGGGCAAAAGTACAGTTGAGTCTCAAAACTGAAATTGAAACTGATTTTATTTAATTTCCAAAAGTTACTGATTACATCTTATGTTTGCATTTCCCAGGGGAGGTAGTGATGGCTTTGGCATTGAAAACAGACATAAAATGAACTATCCTACTTTTTTATTCTTCATGTCTAAATATGTAATATAATATTTGTAAGTGATGAATTAAAAAAAAGTTACTGAAAGAAAAACTTTTAAATTTTGATGTCGTATTTAATGCAGTAAAATATTTGTGCTGTTCTCAAAACCTCCTTAAAGTGTAACTCTAACAATTAAATAAATACAGAAAATGATGATCTGGAGTCTGTCTGATTAGTTTGCTTGAGAAAAGACGATGTCCCAATGGGCACTCATCTTCTCTGAAAAAAACGTGGAATAAGCCTCTCAGAAATGTGCACACATGCCGAAAAAAAGTAGATTAAGGAGACTGCACTGTCAAGCTTGCAGAGATAAAAACCTGATTGCCATCCTAACACGAAGTGCAGATCTTGACAATGTATGTTAAAATATTTACAAAGAGAAACGCAGTAACTACAAAGCAATCGAGTTAAATTTGCAGCATGTTGGCACCATATGTCGTGATTTCCCTCCATCCTGCTTTTGCTACACAAAATATGCGTTAAATGAATGTGCAGAAACTGATCTACGATCTTTATATGGCCCGGCTCGCTGTCACCCATACAAAACGATCTGCACGCACTGCAACTGGAGCAGATCAATTCTTTTAAACACTGTTTGACAGTCCGATTAATTGCTATTAATTTCAACAATGTCTGTAATTAAACTCTTATCCCATATCAAATTTTTAGAGAAGCAGGGATGGGAATACAGGCTTCTCTAAAGTATCATTTTGCCTTCCTTGCATTAGTGGAGTTTGAAGCCTAGGAGAATTACCAGGCCTGTGAGATTCAATTATAGCCTCACCACAGCAGCATTTGAGAGGACATGAGAAAGAGCTCACACTGGGAAAGTATCCAACTAGCTTCATCTATCACTAAACTGCAGACATAAACCTAATGTAAAATGCCAATCTATTCATTGGCACCTCCTCTACGCTCACTTTCTTACTCGCTGTCTCTCTTTACACTATCTCTCCAAATAATGAATAAACATGAGTGGCAGTCAAGTGTGATGTAGGCCAGTCTGTGTTGGGGTCAATCAATCACCATTCCACAGATCATTAATATTTATTAGTGGCCTGGAGTCACCTCCTCGGCACCTGGACCTGGGTCGGACACAGAGGAGACAGGCCTTTTCAGGTTAATATTCATGAAACTGCTGCAAGACACATATACAGTCTTCAGGTAACAGAGGTACTAGCTGTCTGTACATATATAAGAATGTGTCGGCATGCAGGCAAAGAGACAAAGGCTAGCCCTGGGCGTTGAGATTATGCTCATACCTTACAGATCAATACCAAATTGTCCTTCAAAACAAACATTGGACCTTCTCATTTGTGAACCTGCTCAAGCACATCATTAATCTCGGTGCACTTTTTCCCCCTACATCGTCTCTCCACGTACACATACATTACCTCCTCCCCTAACCTACATGTGTCAACAGCAACTGTCACTCACAGCAGCACTTTGTGCACGAACTAGAACTGTGGGATTTGGTGGAAGAAAAAGGTTGTGGGAATGAACATCTGCATAACAATGTCAGAGTCTGGTTTCTCTGCTCACAATGTCAGCTATTCATACATAGCCTTAGAGAAGATTTGTGAATTATTAAAAGGTTCTTGTCTGGGGTGCTTGAAGAAGTTTCCAACTTGGGACTAAATTACATATCACCTTATTAACTTCTACTCTGAGTGTTTGGAGTTAAATGGACATCCACAGAGAGCTGGAGGTCAAAATTCCCCTTTCTAAATTGGAGCAGGGAAACGAGAGCAGACTGTTACTTAAACAGAAAAAAACATGATATGTTACCATTTAGGACAATATCGCTTCATGGGAAATTTTAATTGTCTACTGTAAATGTTAAATGGTAAGAAAGGGAAAGAGTATTCCTATTCGATATCTCCCTCGGGAGCCTTATAGAGTCCGACCAGTGATAACAGACAAAAGACAAAAAGTGAAGTGAAGAGGAGAAGAGCAAATAAAAAAGAGAGGTTGGAGGTTATTTACCTAGTATACCTGGCCAGAGATGGAGCTGGATAATGTGCTCGAGCTCCTCTAATCCTTCTCTAATGAACAAAGCCACGAGGGGGCTTCAGCCTATAAAGCTTAACCAAACCCACGATACACACTCATCTCTCACTGCTAGTTCTGCAGAACCGTTCATCTGTATATTCTCACAGAGGGAGGACAAAAGGATATTCCATCTCCGCGCGGATGTCATCCAGGCGATGTGAGAGTTCGATCGAGTCCTCCTCCTTGTTCTCATTGAACACCCTCAGCTGGATGTCCAGCTCTTCTGTCTCTTTTAGCTCCTGCAGTGAGTTAGACATACAGTATGTAGTTTAGATTGTGTTTGAAGTTTTACCAAAGGTCCTGTACTGCAGATTATTATGTTGCAGACGCATTAGCATGCATGGGTTTGTGAAAATATTACTTTTAAATTTTCACAGGCTTCCACTTTATGGTTTTTATAACTTAATTTATTCAAAAAAAAGAAAAAAAAGTAAAAGAAAAAGAAAAAAACTTTCACCAAAATTTCCTCTCCCTCTTCCAGGTGTGCAGAAAACTGGGAACTGAGATGCTGTGAACTCTCTAAGTATTCCAGACAGTACCGATTCCTGCACACCTGTTCCAGCCACAAGGGGCTACAGAGGTGCTCTTTACAAGTTCTCTATGAATCACTGGCAGTGGAATTTACAGATGGAGACGGGGCCAAATGTAACCCAATTTCTGCAGGTATCAATCACCCTGCACCGTTTTTTGGGCGCACCATCTGTCTTCGGCAAGCAACGCTGGTTCGGAGGGAGGTGCACAATGGCACAAAAAAAAGGAGGGAAGGAGAAGAGGAGGAGAGCCAAATACATGCATCAAGGACTATAAGAACAAAACAAATTGTTCTTTCTTTTTCAGTGGACTAGTTCTCTGCCAACAGCAACACTGACTCCTGAGCATAACTCATAATTAGATGAAAGAGTGTCAGTTTGAATGTCGGCATTAAAAGCGGTAAACGTGGCATTCATAAACGGCTGTACGCTGAGCCTCTTTCATATCAGGGGGCAGAATTGAAGATAATTAAAGTAATGACAGTAATAATCAACAGGCACAGCTGGGATGACTTATTAACAACTGGCTATGTGACATCTTCACCCCACTTGTGACAAATGAGAGTTTGAATGATGAGTTGGAGCTCGTTTGCCTTTCGGCTCACGCGAAGATGCGTAAGGTTGCCGATAATGATGCCTGCGCCATGAGGTGCTAGCAGTGCACAATACTTGGCACAAGCTTCTGCTACTACTAATTAAATTAAAACAATAAAATGTATTCCTCTAGTATTTGTGTAATGAAAATAACTCAGTTTAACATCTCAATGATTTGGTTTGAATGCCTGACCACAATTACATAAAACATTCGCATCCCAATTATTTGGAAGTTTAAAGTGCACAAAAAGCTATTTGGGTTGTGATGAAAAGGAAATCTTGCTTTCAGTAATTATAATAAGAGAGAGTTAACCTGTCGTGGGAGGATCGCCAATAACGATGCAAAATTATGTTTATGACACGCATGTAAACAATGTGTTCTCTGGAGATTGCTAACTCACAGGAAGGATCTTCTTTAGACCGCATCTTAAAAACTCGTTGCGCAAATGTATCCTGAAGTCCAGGTCGTCAGGGGAGGTGACCAGGGCATTGATCAGCTGCATGCAGGCAACCTGTGGAGCAGACAAAGCAACGAAAACAAAACAAAATCAATCATGAGAAAGTATCGACTAAATATTTTACCTGAAAAAAAGTATCATCATCAGATATGTAACTCAACTCTAAGATGCATGTTTAGCAGCGTGACTGTAATCTGAGGTGAATATTTGCACCTTAATATTTCCTTTCAAACGGCAAAATTACAAAAAAAGCACGAGGGAAGTAAAGAGAGACGAGTCAAATGAAAAATTGCAGAAAGTAGAAAATACAACCCTGGTATGTCTATTGACTGTATGTGCATTATTAATGGATTTATTGGTAAGGAGAAATCCTCAAAGTGAGTGGTGGTGTGTGTGCCTGCGTGTGCTGGGTAGGTGGATGAGGCTGGCTTGGGTAACGAGGAAATTACTGATGAATTATAATGACCTGTAACGTGTTTCAGGGGAGGAAGTCGTGAATAAGATAGTTTCCCTTAGACAGACAATCGATAGCAGGCTAAAGGATTCAGACAATCTAAAAACACTGCCTCCTGAAACCTTGACCCAGTGCTGTCGGTATGTATGCGTTAATAACAGCTGAGTCTGTGAGGTTTCCTGTGTAAGCTTTATGATTTTTCAAGGTTTAAAAACGCTATTTGGTGAGTTTAACGTTTATTTCCATAAAGACCAACATTCAGTCCTGAATCAACGTTTTCCAACCTTAATACGACCTGAACACGCTTTTGATTTTCTACTCAGTGAAACAAAAGTGAAAATAACGCCACTAACCGTTGATTTTTCTGTGACTGCAGCGCTCGTAGGCGCATTACAAAATGCATTCATATTGAAAAGTATACGTTTGTTGTAGTAAAGGATGCACTGCAGCTGACTATGTGCCACGACTGCCAGGAACCGCAGTGATGACAGACTTCTCCGTGTTTGAGAAAAGCTTGAGGGCCTCAAACTGAGAACTGTGCACTGAAACCTGACATTTTACTGTATCCACCAGAGGCCAGACACATAAAAGAAACTCCACCAAACCTTCACAGAATTTATGTGAGCGAAGAAAGTCATGGAGCTCATGAAAAATTCTTTCTCTTCTGCTGCATACAGATAGATACTTACATCAATCACCTCAAACATACCTCAGTCATGTATTGTGGAGTGGGAAGCGGTCGGGGGTAAGGGCATTATGTGTGTTACGCTTAGAGAGCTGCAGTGCTGCCAAAAGGGGGGCTCCAAACATCGTAATTAAAAGTGGCACTGCCAGGACGGTTTGAAAGTTGAAAGTCAGAGTTCTCCTCATGCTCGGCAGACAAGCATACCCCAAACTGGGCTAAAACGCATTTTAATCACATTAGCGAGGTCTAGTTCTGGAGCCCATTCCAGGTTTTGGATAAAAAGTCTATTAATTTCCTCCGAACCCCCTGCATCAGCAAAGCATTTTAATTTACTTCACAATTACCAGCTTCATTTCATTAACGGCAAAATTTAAAGGAAAAACAACAGTCTCCTAATAAAAGAATATCTACTTTCTCTTCTACCACCCGCCTCATCAGTTTCCTTCATGACTTTTCCTTCAAGACTTCTCAATCCCTGCAGCTAAAGTAATTTCTTAAGTAATTTCCTCCTTTTGGCTTCGCAAATACACGTTTTAAGGGGTGTTGTTGTTGCTATTACAAAGTTTTCTTGTTGCTGAAGAATACTCGTGAAGTATCTGTAAAATGGAGAATTTAAATGAAGCAGCAAAACGAATAAAAAGGAAAGACGGGAGAAAAATATAAATTAGGGATTCGACATCTTTTTTATTATTATTTTGTGATGTTTTTGAAATGAATGTGGAAATCAGCGTGTTTGAGTAGAGCTTCTCAGCGTAATAGTTGGAGAATCAAACTGCACCTGGTTGTGGAGGTGTGTCAATGTAACTATTAAGTTTGGAAGCACGAATGCAAACCTAGTGCAGCGTGTTACATAGTTACCATTAAAACACGAAGGTCACTTTTATCCACCAAAGGTAATAAAAGGGGAATGATGAATGCATGCTGTGTGTGTGTGAATGCTTATGTGAGTGGACTAACCTGGAGCTGCTGGGCCTCATGGTTCTCCAGTCCTTCCACAATTGGAGCAAATCTCTCTTTATTGTTCCTTTCTGCAGCAATTGTCATAGCAGCCAGAATCTTATCCAAGCTGGTAGAAAACAGAGAACAAACACAAAAGTCAACAAACACTTTTATCACATGGCTACCAGGACATTTACTCACAGTTTTCACCTCAGGCATCATGTATCTTATTTTCCCTTGTGTGTTGGCACGAACATTTACTCAGCCCACCTTTGGTCAATCTGACAAATTCTACCGCTTTCAATCCCTTTGTCTACAATTTAGTCCTTTATTGTTGCAGTGTCCAATTTTAACTGTTACTAAGGCGATGGCAGACAAAAACAGGGTTTTCCTGCAAATGTGTTTAGTAGTCAAAGCAACTGTGGAATCGTGTATTTGGCTGAACGAGACGGAGTCCAAATTATTGGAGGGACAGCCAGACTAGTGCTCAAATACTCAAATACACCTACTGAGAAGGTAAGCAAATTAGAGCACTTGCAAAGGCTCAAGGCAGCTCAACTAAATAGAGTGTTGGACGATTTTAGCCTCTAAATTGTGAATAAAGTATGCTGCACATAACCACACCCACACAAACAGGGCTGCAATAAAAGTAAATTCATGTCTTATGAGCGGTTACATGACGAGTTATTCACAACATGTGTACCCAATAATTGGCAGCGAGTGGCCCCCATCACTGCAGAGCCATCGTTGCCATGGCATGCATAGCTTTCGTTAAATTTAGGAACTAGCTCAGCCTACTGTGAATGCTATAGTATTAGCATTGTAAGTAAACACCAAATGAATGCATGTTTATGTATGTACAAACATGTGCTAAATAAACTTGCAATTTTGACTTTTCTTATTTTGTAAAGACTCAACCAATAAAATGTTTAGGGTCAGGAATAACCAGAAGGAAATCTGTGAGTGAGGAAGACCATGTGCTTGACCGACGAGGCTGCATGTGCAGACTAAGCCTGACAAACAGATAAATAGAAGGATGATTCTTTGTGATAGAGGTTACAAAGTCAGACAAACGCGGGGAGCTGCATACTGAATAACTTTAAAGCCAGTTCAGACGACGCTTCAAAACAGGCGAGATAGATCTGCTTAACTCGCTGTGTTCCCTTTTGAGGCTGTCAGCTAAAGTGGGTGTTGAACATGAGCCAGCGTCACAATGTTGGTTGAGGAGGAAGTTTCTGAGCTAAAAAAGTGACACCTCAGCTCCTTTGGCTGTCATTTCTACAAGATACGGGCATTTTAATGCAAGGCTATGATCACGGCGACGATCTTCATGTTTACTTCAACATTTTCTTGAATCCGTGACTGACACGGATGAGACAGACAGAGAGAGGGAGGTCTGTCCTGTCTATATAGCCAGTATCTGCTTAAAATAGTAGTTGTGTGCGTATGCATGCAGTCTCTGTGTAAAGAAGAGACTGAAGAGAACATGGATCTACCTGAAAAATCATTATTATATCAAATCAAGCTCGCTTTGGGAATGATGTGCATTCAGTCAAACTAATTGTGACTGATTGTATTTTGACTTCCCAAGGAAGTCGCAGCTATGTGACACTCAGCACTGCTAATAGTGATAACCTGTTAATTTATCTGCTACTCATTCTAGCCTTGACAATGTAAAGACCCAAATGTAATCCCTTGTTACTCTAATTACTAGAATTAATGATGGTAGGATTCATTAACAGTGCCCCCCTCCAATCCCTAAAGTGTCCAGGTTTGCACATCCTGGCTCAGGAGGACTGTTTACTAGAAAAATGGGAGAAAAGTCATTATTGTCTCAGTGGTTTGACCCATGCCTCACCTTTCATGACAAAACAAAACGTCTCACATCGATTTGTTTGGTATTTATAGAAGTAAAAATGTTCTTTTTTATTACAAACAGTACATATAGTTAGAATTATTTCTTGTCTAGGAATTATATTATAGTAAACACATGTTTAAGTGGCATCTTTAGAAGCTGATACAGGGTAAAAAAATCTAAACAAAGAAAATTAAGAAATAAGACAAAAATTACCTGGATTAAAAACCTTTTTTAGAAAAACAAAAACATATGCAGTCATAACTGAGGCCTATCCGAGTTGTCAGAGATAGCAGACACATTCCTGAACTCAGCTTCTCCAACAGAATTTGTGGGTTTGTTTGTTTCCAGCACTGCATACAGACTGACTTTGAAGTGCCATTGTTATTCTAGTCTGGCCCTGTGGGAAACAATAAAAAACACTCCCCTAAATCCAATTTATACGCTGTCAGCCTGCTTGTGTCTGCAGCAAGCTACACTGAGAAGTTCACCACATTAAACAGACTAAACTGCATCATCTGAGCATGTGATCCAAGAGATTTCTACACCGACTAAGGTCACCTGTAAATGCAGCGGCAACTCATAGCGGGTAAACACATAAGCATGGGCTGCAATCTCTGTATGACTACATGCCACCCAGTGAGAGGAGATTGAAGCGACAGTAATATTATAGGGATGTCCTGCACTCTTCCCTCTATTTCAGAAACAGGGATTTGTATACACAAAGCAGTGATGGGCCATGTCTGTCATTGTTTTTCCATCAGTCAATCATTTATTTCTATATCAGCTGCGATTTATTGAAAAATATATAGAAAACCTGAGAAATATGTGATCCTATCAACACTTAAAATCCCCATAGGAGATAGGCAAAAGTGCGGTAGCAACTTCAAAGGTCAATTCATCCACATCACCCAAAGTAAAGACCACAAATAAGAATTTTATTCAAATTCAACCTTATTTAAAATCTTTAAACCTGCAAAGAAAACCAAAGCTCCAAATTTAACGCACTGACCTGCAGACTGAGACAAAACGTATTATGTGTGCAGACATCGGTGGTTGGACTTTGATAGACTACCTACGCATGTGATCGTGATGTCTCTGAATGGAACTTACATGTTTTCCTCTCCGATGATGCAGCAAGCGGAGAGGATTTTGACAATCTCTGTCATCATGCTGGTCTGTTTAGGGTCAATCGCTCGAGCCAACAACGACAAACTCCGCTCATCTCCCAAGATCCTTTGCAGTCCATACTACGGGCACAAAAGAAGACAGGAGAGGATGTAGAAAAAAGTCCACTGGGTATAAATTAATGAGAACATTAGCATTCATAGAGAACTTTCACTTCAAGTAAAAAACGGAAAAAAAATCTACGTAAGTTATAGTTAGCCTTAATTTTCTTATAAGGAGGGACAACGAGGCCGAGGGAGAAAATAGAGAGGATGATGAATTAATTTAATTCAGGACAGGACTATAGGGACAAATACTTATAGTCTCATGCACCTTGTAGTCTCCCCACAACTGAGAGAATGGGTAGAGATGACCACATGTGGGGATTAACTCTAAGAGAAGCAATATCAACAGTTCATCTATCCTTGAAATGTGTGCCACTTTTGAGAAATGAGCCAGACTGCCCAAAAAAGGATAATTAAAAGATCTGAGACTGTGGGCTTGAAATGGTAAAATTAGCTTTACGCTCCCGTTATCCCAGGCTCGTCGGAGTTCAGATTCAAATAAGGTTTGGAATCTTGGCCTCTTGAGATATTTATAAAATGTTTAATGTAAGTGAACTAAGAGTTTGCTCTCTCGTGCTTTTTATTTTTTTGTAAAATAAATTTACTGTTCAGCTGGTGAACATTTCAGGCCTTTTGCGTTTCACCTCCTCTTTGGCTTTGTTGTTCCTAGAGTATTTAAAAGTAGAATGGGAGG